GCATGGAAAGACTCCTTCAGGAGTTGTTCCCGGAGCTGATTTCCCCTTGAACACATCCGTTTGGCTCGAAGCCGCCCGGCGCCAACCCTATATCACCTCGAGCACTGAATTCGCTCGAAACCGCCGCGAAGGGTAGTTTTAAGCCCTGAATGCAATCCTTTTCTCACGGCGCGAGAACGTCGAGTGTGTGGGCTGCCAGTGCCGGTGATAACCTAGCTTCTAGCGCCGGTATCTGCTGCTTAGGCGCTATTCGTTTTGGCTCTAAAAGGATGCAGTTTCTAAGTTCAAGGGTGAAACTTCTCCCAGAGGTGAACTTATAGCCAAGTCTATCTCCAAGAAGGAGTTCCAGCCCAAATCTGGCTCGTTTTTCCAAAACTGGGGTAGCAAGGATAAATAGTGCCTTATGCACCACGAAACATTTTGATACCTCTCATTAACTCAGGTTCCATCTATACCCTTCCTTTTACTGGCTTCCAGGCTGGTGTCAGGGTAAAGCCTTATGGTAATGGAGCCATACCAGTTGTGACTGCACGAGATTTTCGGCCCTAGGGACAATTCGGGGGCAATTTGTACTTTAGCTAGTTTCTTTTGCTAGTCCATGTTAATTAACTGGTATAGCTTTGACGAGACCTGCAAGCTCCTGTGGAGCTGTGAAATGGTACAAGTGAGCAACCTCTGTAACAAAACTTTGCATGTTCTTGCAAGATACCTGTGCAGGCTTCGCACAGTACCATTTGTTGCCCCTACCAAGGCGTCTGCGCCTGCTTTCTCACGAAAAGCAAGGTTCATTCTTTAAAATTATAAAAGGTATTGTGCTGGTTATCCAAAGAAGGTTTTCCATAGCAACAGCTTCCCCTCTGTACGCTAATTCCGGGACTCGAAAATGCTTACATTATCGAGTTCTCCTTATGTTTTGCTTTTTTTTGTTCTTGTTCGGTCTGATCGACTAGGTTTTCAGTCAGTCAACATCATGTCGGATTGGTTAGTGGCACTGGGAGATCCTCAACCAGAAGATCCAAAGCCAACAGCACCTGTAAAGAAGGCAAAACGAGGTCGTCGAGGCGCAAAGCAATCAGCAAAAAAGGCAGAGGAAGAGCGAAAGCAGAAAGAGGAAGAAAAGGCCAAAGAAAGTGACACACCAAAGAGCCCGTCGAAAAAGCATGAGACGGAAAAGAAGTTGGAACCGTTCTATGGCAAGATGGGTGGGTATAAAATTTCACTAATGCACGCGTTTACTTGGTTAGATACTAACTGGTTGGATTCTGAATGGGATACAGTCTTGTTCGGTGCGGATACTGTGTTAGGGGGGTGAGAGCTGGGTTTGACGCAGCGTTTTTCACCACTTGTCGCTCGCTCCGCTCCATCAGTTGGTGGAGAGAGGGCTGGCGACGCGCCAAACCCGTCCCCCTCACATGTTTCGGCAACCGCAGAGAACAAGACTGCAGAGTAACCTGGAGTGCTGGCCAATAATGCTTGAGGGAAATGGGGTTCTGTATTCTACAAGTCAACGGCGCAGTTCGGCGGAGGGGGGGGGGGACATCTTGCTTCCCATTGGTGTGTCGACCCATCTAGATAGCCTTTTCTTGAGTTGACACGTTTTACCATGGTGGCTAGACGAGCTTGCTCCAGCTTCACAAGAGTTCACATTTTTCACCAGAGTGAACCCGAAGTAGTGAAAGTGCGAAATCCCCCC